GCTCAGCGTTAATTTTAAGACTGATTCTTTTGCAAAAACAGTGGATTAAGAGAGCAAATTCAATAATGTTTGTCCCTCAGACGAGGTGAACTTTAACTGTAGCAGCTGCGAGCCGTAGACTGAATGGCAAAGATAAGGCTCTCCCTTTCGGTTGCACGTTTCATGAATTGCTGCCATATTTTTTTCACTGTTGTGTGTATATTTCAAACCAGACATTAGCAATTTATCCTCGAAACATCGATCAAAAGCAAAACTTTGACAAATAAAATGAATATGCAATAAAATAAATATGAAAGAAGGCGAGCATATTAAAAAATGGGTAGCCTGCTGTACATGCACATCTATACAAATTGTTTTGTTTAATAATGTGTCTGATTTTTGAAGAATAAGTATATTCATGGCAAAAAAAATAACTTTGCTGTGGGATAGTGGAATAAATGTATAAACAACTGAAATTAATGGCATCAAATTATCTTTATAATTACCAATTGACTTAAAATAAATAAATAAAATAAATTTTATACTGTGGAACTGTTACCAACCAGCCACAAAGCAGACCCTCCAGAGGCCAGAGTGCAGCGCCATCTTGACCTCAGTGGTCTGGTTCTGCTGCAGGACGATTCCCTCCTCCATCAGCAGCCAGTAGTCCGTCGACACAGCGACGCCCACCAACAGCAGACCGCAGGCCCCAAAAACCGACGAGAGAAGTGTCAGCGCCCTCGTGCTGAATGAACTCATCTGAGGAGAAAGGAGATAAAATCACGGTGATCAGTGTTGCTTGTGATAAATACAGCAGGGATCAGCATGCAGGAAGATAAGGAGGAGAAAACAGTGAATTAATTTGCTGGATTAAACAAATTAATCAAAGAGGGAAGAAAAAGAGCGATACCACAGATCGGGGGCGGCAGGGCCTACAAATAGTGGGGCGGCACAAAAATAACAGAATTAATGTTTCAACTCATTGTAGGGCGTTTTCCTCTGTCTTGTGCTCACGTTTATAAATAGCATTACCAAAAAGAACAGTCTTGCTGGGGGGCAGGAAATCTGGGGGTGTGGCCACCCCCTCGGTGGTGCCCCTGACACAGTACAGCATTATCTAATGATTTCTGTGATGTCAGTTTAAAAAAAATGTGGAAAAGAAGAGAAGACGAGGACACACAACCTGTCTTGAGTTTCACTGACCTCAGCTATGAAATATGTGCATGGACAACCTAAGAAAAAAGAAACCACTTTCTTATTGAAAGGCAGTATAACATTCAGGTTAACGGCTTATATCAAGCAGCAATTCAACAAATAGTTTTCATTTTATGAAGCTGGATCATTAAATACACAAATGCAACACCTTCTCTCTAAATATGTGATAAAATCCATCATTTTCAAAACTAGACCTTGAACGTTTGAGCCTATCTTTATCCAGTGTTTAACATTCTTCATATTAAAGTCAAATATTTTAAGAGCTATAATGTCTTTTTGTATCTCTCCATAAATCAGAAATTGCTGTCTTATTATAAAAGTCCAACACTTATATGTACATTTTGGATATTTTCTGTCCGTCCCTCTGAAAGATACGGAGCCCCGCAGGGGACATGGGAGAAAAAAAAATTAAGATGGACTTTTGCGAGATCTCGCAAAACTTTCGCAAAACTTTTGCGAAAGTTTTGCGAAAGCTCGAAGCTAACGGGAGGTCGAGACCTACTACAGCCGGGAGGAACACCGCTTTCCCGGCACATCGTGCC